GCCAGGAGCCCCCTAGTAGCGTCCTTGCCCCTAGTAGCGATGCCAGGAGCCCCCTAGTAGCGTCCTTGGTAGCTCAGCTGGAGACCGGTGCAGTGGTCAATGTGAAGTTGAAGAGGTGAAGAACCCACAGTGACCTCGGAAGTCTGCGATGGGATGGGCGTGTGATGACTTCGAAGGCCTGCTTGTAATTACTTGTAACAGAGGTGTTTGGCTTCTGGTCTCTGGCTGCGTGCTGTGGTGGGAACTACAGGCAGACTGGGTCTTGTTCCACAACCCATGTACAACTCTTTGAAGTGGATGGTTTCTTCGCAGTGTCCGTGTCTGCTGCGGATTCTCACCAGCTCAGGAGAAGTTCTTCCAAATTCCGAAGGTGGTCGGGAGCTCAGCTGCATCGGCTCAAAGACAGAAACGGAGGACCAGTTGACCCGATCTGCTGGGAGGGTGAACAGTTGACCGGTTGACTTTAGATACAAAACCCCAAGGAAACCAGCCCCGAAAGCACCAATCTGTCGTGCAAACTCCAAATGTTCGCTGTTTGCAGGAATTCAAGATGGGCAGAGTTCAACATCTGAGTCATATTTCCATATATTTTTCCACTTCCAGCCTTGCCCTTCGAGTTGTTTGCGACGGCACCTGGATCAAGTGCCTGTGACTAAGGCCTCCTTTGCGGGAATCAAGTCCGGCCAGCCCAGAGGGCCCACGCAGCTGTCTGTACGACATGCGCATCCGCCTTTTTGGGTGATCAAACACATGATTTAGCCCACAAATCACACCTTGCTATTGATGCAACCCTTCAAGTGAACACAGATTCTGGGGGAAAAAGGTATGAAAACCCGACCGGTGGGAGGTGGGAGAATCGGCTGTTCATCTTGCACACATGCGCTCCATGCAGGTGCAGGTGATGCAGACTGTCCATGAAAACCCGAAGCATGTCCCTTTTGCTCCGCCGTCGCCTGCCATGCCATGCCTCAGCAATGTCCAAGTGAAGGAAAAAGTGATGCTGCCCTTGCCACAAGAGGGTGATTCTTGGACGAGTCCATCTTGACCCTTTGGCGGGTCTTTTTTTCGTCTCAGGAAGCATGACCTGGAGTCGATGTCCACCACCAAGCTCCACCGGAAGCTTCGGAAAGTGGGCTGGCGTTGGGAGAGCCCAGTGGCTGATTCCAAGACTAAGGAGCCGTACAGGGGGTTTGGTGGAGAAACCATTCAATGAAGATCCACCAACAAGCAATTTGTGAGTTTGGAGGGCTTTGGGGGATCAATGTCAACCATTCACAGACCGTCCCAGAATCGCTTGAGAGGTGCTAGACAGGGATTTTAGCGGAGTCAGCTTTTCGAGCATGTTGTGGGCATCTGGCTGCCAAGACTTGTGAGACACAAACCCATGCCATGTCTCAAGTCAGTCATCCCGACAAAGTTTCGTTTGTTCACTCCAACACCCTCCAGCTTGAGAGTATCATCTACACAAAGACATAAAGCAACAGTACTCACCCCAAAGAGGCAGTGCGTGCGCCCTCACATTTGATCGTTTCTGGATGTTTCTGGTTCATTTTTGGTTGGTTCGTTTGTTTCTGGGGTGTTTGTGTATTTCACACGGAATGCCTCTGCTCTTTGTTTCATCCGAATGCCTCTACGAACTGACAGGTCTCACGTCGTTTCACCCCACAAATTCAACCGGCCCTTCGGCTTTTGCACCACAAACATGGTGGGATTTCCAGACACTTTGCTGCGTTTCCAGGCACTCTCCGCGTCAAACCGTGGACCATTGGACCATGTTGGACCCCGAACGCACGTCGGTCTTCGCCGCTCGGGTCACGGACCCCGAGGCTTTTCAACCCACCTAGCGGCACCGGAGCTGGTGGGATCCGGAGCTCGGGGCGGCCGTGGGTCACCGCAGCGAGAGATGGTGCACGTCAGTGAAGTTAGAGAAGGGACAATCCACCAGCCTGAGGCAGGGGTCACAGGCACCTGAAGCACAAGTGGCTGATGTTTCATGCATGGACTTGGGCATGAAGGAGAAGATGTGGATCTCCGAAACCGAGTCAGTGATCATTGGATGGACCAATGCGGTGTCGGTGCGTCCAGGTGCCCTCCCAAGTGCCCAGCCGTTCGGTCTTGAAGTTCTTCACGGACAGTTGGGGAGACCGAGGAGGAGGGGGGATGTTGGAGGGAGACACCCTCCATTTCATGGGTATGAACACGAATAGATCATGACGTGTCTTGTTTCTCCAGAGTTTTTGGGTGGGTTTTGTGTTTTTCTGTGGATGATGATGTCAGTGGTTGTGAGGTGAAGGCACCCATCATGATAGAACCAAAGTTGTTCATCCATTCCTCCTGACAATAGTTAGCTGTCCACTGCTCATGCGCAGATGCGCTTGACCCAGCCAGTTGCTTGTAGCGACCTCACAGTCTCAGATGAACTGACCTGCCAGTCAGGGGCTCCCCGGCAAAAAAAATTGATCTGGGCGTGTCGCACCATCGAGGACCACCCAGGAATGGCGGTTGTACTGTACAAGGTTCTAGCCCAGGCTGAACTCTTTTGTCTTTTCTCCAGATTCACTGAGGTCAACTGCATGTCAACCGGCATACCTTCATGGTGCAGGCCATCTCTTCCGCGCAAACCTGCCCATCCCACCGAAGCGGTCGGAGGGCGCAGCGATTGGCCGGCAGCAATCATTGAGAAAGTCCTACGCCACCTGGAATAAGACATGAACAACAACGATGTTCTGATGTTCCGTGCGCTTGGTGGCTACAAGGTGCCGGATTTTGGCAGAATCGTGTCTGCTGTGTTGAATAAAGGAAGGTGGAGTATACTCCAAAGAACACTGCCTCATGGGGGATGGGCCAAGATCACCAGCTCGTTTTTTCAGGTGGCATTGACTAAAGCAGTTCATCACTCTCTATGCTGTTTGTGTTGCCCGGGCCGTTGCTGTGGCATTTGATGCGTGAAGAAATGACTGGCATTTTTCAACCCTAGGTGTTTACATGAAGGGATGAAGGGTTAAACAATGCAAATGACTACCCTAACGTGGAATTGAAGGGATGCAGGCTCCTGGCTCCTCGAACTAAAGGTGGGCCACCAGATCGGCACGGACCGTGACTCGCGGATCCTCTGCCGCTTGCGGATGGATCTGCCGGGGGCTCAATGGCGCATGGAGAGGGAGAGTTGAACAGGGATTGGCTTAGGGAAGAGCATGGGACGCCTCAAGTGACAAGTGGTAGCAGACCTCACCCTATTCCGAGCAGATTTTCATGATGAGGTTGATGACACAGGCGCAACTCGCCACACCTCGTGTCCAGCAAGACATCACCTTCAAAGGTTCGTGGAGGTCCTTTTTCATGGGCGACGACGCCTTCTTTCAAGCTGCCCTTGTTTCATGAAACTGATTTCGAACAAATCTTTGGGAGGTTTCACAACAGTCCTCCTTTTCAATCTTTGGGAAAGTGACACCTCTACGTGGCGCAATTCGAGCCGAAGAGCGTGGGCGAAATCGAGGCCGAAGAACTTTTTGGAGCCACACCGGAAGTTGCTCTTGGAGTGTCGTCAGGTGCGGGAGCGACTTGCAGGTATGGCCTGGTAGGGTGGTCGTATTGTATCCAAATGATCTCTGAGGTTGTTGGTCTCTCCTCCCACTGTGCCAACTGCCAGCTGCTTGGCCACATCACTTTCCTCGTGTCTTAGGGGACTTTATGTTCGCGAAGCCACTCTCCTGGTTCAAATGAGGCCCAAAAAAGCATCGAAGGTGCTTTTCTTGTTTGTGTACAGCGATTAGAGATTGGTCTTTGGTGCCAGACTTGCCACTAATGCATTTAGTGCTTGCCTTCCCTTGTACCTTATGGCTATATAGTAGCCATCGTCTATAGTCACGACTACCTACAGGGGTATTGAGTAGATTGAATCTAGCATGCTCGATAGACACAGACCGAGTGCAACAGGGAGAACACCCTTCTGATGGCAACAGACTAACTAGGCCACTTTCGAGAGAGAACATTTGACTGGACTGCGGAAGGTGCTTTCCTCCACGTCTGTCCTGTTGGGTCGTCCAGAAGAGGATTCGAACACAGGTCCTGGCCATGGAGATTTCGGCCAAGCAACTCAGTGTTTCCATAAGTTGACAAGTGTTACCATCCCCAGCTCAGTGATCCATCTTGGGGATAGAGCCTTTGCAGAATGCCGGTCTTTGGAAAGTGTGAGCATCCCCGACTCAGTGGCCTACATTGGGGATTTGGCCTTTGCATGCTCTCTTCACTCATGGGCAAAAGGCGATGAGAAGAGACAGGCAAATGGACGCTGTTGGCAAAAAGAGCGGCATGCACTTCTGGTTCCATGCGGGGCATGGAGGGAACATGCAGGTACTCATTGCACCTGCCCCTTCCTGGAAGAGCAACCAGTTATCCAAGACCAAGACCCATTCAACTGCGTGGTTGCTCGAAATCCTTTCTTCATCCAAACCAATTACGCCAATTGTGGCCTAGTCTCTTGCCCTTCTTTATATCCCCGTGCACGGCACCCAAGTGGGGGTTTGTTCATTGCTGATAGGGGATAGGGATTCTACAAGTACCCTCATTAGTAGCTTCTTGTTCCTAGTAGCGATGCCAGGAGCCCCTAGTAGCTTCTTGCTCCTAGTAGTAAGGCCAGGAGCCCCTGCTCCTAGTGGGTGTTTGCTCTAAACATCATATGAACCGGTGGCTGTCTCTTTTTCTCGCCGGTCGCCAGATGATCCACGATGAAGAGCTGATGCAGGACAAGGTGGAAGGGCTGTCGGATGTGAAGGCGGTGAAGTTACAGCAGGGGTGTATAGGTTTTGCACCTTGCACTGGAGCTGCACGTGGGTCATTGAGCATTCCTACCACGCAGAAAGATCTCTGCCCGAACCAGAAGCCAACCGACTCTTCCTCTTAGGGTTGATCCAATTCCCAGTGATCCCCTCTCAACCCCTGCGGCGGCTTCCGAAGCCACCCCCGAATGGGGTGTTCATGGCAGTCGGAAAAGACGGTGGTGACCAGCTTTTTGGAGCAGATGACACGTGGTGGAGGAGTTGGGGGCCCGAGCAGTTCAGGAGTTGGCGGCCGAAGCCGACGCATCCTTTTCTGAAATCGAACTTTGCAACCTATATAACATGTTTGGGAGCTTCTTTGTGAAATCACATTAGAGCGGCTTCGAAGACTTGTTCAACAGCCTTCTTTTCTGTAGAACAAGACGTGCTGCCGAGAACAATGGCAATGAAAGGCTGCAGTTTCTTAAGCCTCATGACTCGACTCTCTTTAGTCGCCCTCGTGGAGCCGCCAACACCTGTTTCGAGCTGTAAGCTCGAGTGAGCTCGAACTGAAAGGGCTACGGACCATGTGCAAATGCAGTTCAACTCAATTGCCTTGACTGGTGAACTGAACAGGCAAGAAACATCTGGAAAAGAACCACAAGGAAGTCGACACGACTAACATCTCAAAACCACAAAAGCACTTCCAAAAGGCTCCAAACTGAGAATATGTTGAAAGAAGCACCAGTCAGACATAGTCAAAGAACCATTCTGACCTCATGGAGAGCCATCAGGAGAATTTCAAATGGGGCCACTGAGGCACTTGATCTCGAGAACACCCCTTCTTGGATCAATAGGTGTCCTATCCACTCAAAATCTTGTCTCTTTCTTTTAAGATCCCCAACTTTCAAAGTTCACTAAATGGCCAAGTCACACAACTGGACAAGCATTCAAGCAAGGTCAACAAGTCATGCCAACAAGTTTCAGCCAAGTGCAGCTCAACACAAGACATCCTCATGGTGTTTTGAGCTCTTTTCAACCGCGATGACAGGGCCTGTAGGGCGGAGCGAGATCTCCTGTGTCTCAATTGCCATTTTGGTTCGCTCGCAGTTGACCACTTTACGGGGATGGGCCAAGTGATCTGGGGTGATGAAAATTGTCGGAACGGTAAAGGAGCAAAGGGAGTGGCAGAAGGGTCTGATTGTGTGGGTGCTCCAAAATTCGCCGTAAGGTCCTAGAATCAACAAATGGTTCAGACGAGAAAAATGCAGGACACCGATATACTCAAGACACACGGTTTTCTCGGTCAACACGTTTTGATTTTCACATCCCAGCCAGCCCAGGTCATGGGGCAAACCGTCCGGAGCTTGAACAACTTGGTGGAACGCTTGAAGCGTCCCTCGTTGGGCAAAGTGGTGCTGGCTGGCGCTGTCGATGAGAGTTGCAGTTTGACTCCGTTGGTATTTCAGGGTGGGTCAAATGATATGATCAACTGAAGGATACCTGACCAATACAAAAACAATACCATGGCATCCACTTGAGGCATCTCTGTGGGGTGATGACACATTGTCTGTCTTATGGCAGGCAATTTTGTGGGCAGTAGCATGTAACTCTGCAAGACGAAAACCCCTTGAAAAAAACAATTCCACGAATCTGGATAATTCTTTCTAACTGGCTCGCGTCCAGCTACTTCAGATTATATTGCATTGATAGTACCTTGATGATGATGGTGATGATGATGATGATGACGATGATGAATCATCTCCCCAGTCTCTTCGTTTAAGGTAGATGGTCCCGTCGAAAACCAACTAACGGTGGGTCAACATGTTGAAGATCAGAATCACTTCGACCCGCTCGCCTCAGAAAGATCCATTTCTCGTTTTCAGATGGCAAGAAGCACTGGGACGAGCTCGAGAAAGTCTCCGTTTTGGTGGCTTCAGACCTGTTTTGAGCTGTTTTGTCAGGTATTCAGTCAGGCAGCTCCAACTACTTCATGGTGAAGTTCAAGTGCCTGGGCGACATGAAGTGGGGAGTGGCAGGTCACTTCCACAATCTTTGATGATGTTCCGGCCACGGCATGTTGTTGGATGCTATAGTCCATAGGTACAGGAGCATTGGATCATCTTGATTGGGGTGTCTATTTTTTTCAGTGTTGTTTGATGGAGGGTTGGGGGGCATGGCTTTTGATACTACCCTTTAGCATGGACAACCTTGTTGGCTGATCTTTTGTTTGAAGACCATCTCCACTGATTTTGTAGTGCAGACCAGCGTCACGCTATGTCAAAGGTAACATTTCCTGTCGCTGGGGAGCTGCATCATGCCACTGCAGGTTCCATGTCAATGAGTTCCCTGAGCCTGAGAGTACCCATACTTATTGCCCAAAGACTATGTCTACCTCCAGTGTATTCTGGATGTCCTGCGAAGACCAAGCAAGTTGACTCTCATGTTTGTGTCAGGCAGCCGGGGGTGGTTGTTTGGGCCGCGCCCGAGCAGCAAAAGGCCGCCTGGGATGACAGGGACGTTTTGCGAGCTGGTGCCCCCTTGTTGGTTCGCGCACAGAAGCCGAAAGGCTCCATCGAAACAACGAAAAGTTGGTTGGAGGTGCTTTTTTTGGTTTTGTCAGAACCAAAATAGAGCTGAAGTTGGATAGCTCTGAGCATTTCGTCAAATTCGACCTCACAGTACAAAAGTAACAGAATTCTTTCGTTCCCTGTCGAGGCCCTGCAATCCAGCCAGGTTCCTGGATGATCGAAGAATGTGCTGCTTGTGGTCATTTTCAACTTTCAGTGGGTTGTGCACTGGTCTACTTGCATCGACCCAGAAGTCAACCAGGTCACCTTGCATATATAAGCAGGGTCATATCCACAGTCAATATTATATCTGAGACTTTTCATGACCTTTCACATTGACATGATGCGGTCTAGCTACAGGAAGCTTCCCAAGATCTTGCACTTTTTCCTGGGAAAGACCCCTTTGCATTTTTTGGGCCACTCAAGTCTAAGAGCCAGAGGGTCAATAGTCTGAAGACTGTTTACCATGTTACAATGTTGACCTTACTTGTTGAGCATACCAGGAGCCTGCGACTGCACACCATCTTCCCTTAGTCAGAATTAAACCACTGCACACCATCTTTCAGGAGGCATGAGACAAATAGACCACTGGTTTGGGAGCTTGGAGGGATGCCTCCGCTTTTCGGGAGGCTTGGGACCGGCCTGGCACGCTGCTCTTCGCAGTGAAGCTTCTGCATCAGCCAGGTGATTTCCGGTGGTCGGAGGTTGTCCAATGAGCCGAAACAGATCTCATCCAGCCTTGGGGTTTTCTCGTTTTCATCTGCTGCCAAAAAGCCGGCCTGAAATGGGAGGGTCTTGATCATCATTTTCCCAAGGTTGAAGCTTCGGAGTGGATAACACAAGGAGAAAACTGGCCAGTTTGGGTGATGATTCTGCTTAGTGGTTCAGCATGGACCGTCGCAATCCCTTATGCATGGCAGAAGTTTAATGAGTGCGTTGATCAGATTCATTTGTTGGGTAGTTCAGTAACTCAGCAATTACATAGAACAAAAAGCCAGCAGAAAGCTGGTACTGGATGACTTCCATGACAGCAACCATGGCAGACACGTGGCCATCGACATTTTACTGTAAATGCTCTGGTAGGGTGGAGGCCATTGCTATTAGGTTTCTTTTGCTATTAGTTAAGTTTCCCCTAAAAATCTAGGAACCACATGAATAGTGCGAGCGTGAGCTATCCTGCGTCCAGCAGCTAGTAGCTACTTGTTAGCTACTAGATACCTAGCTACTACCTCCCTCTTCTACCGGCCTACCCCCCCCCCGGCTAGTTTTCAGACACCTTTCGCCCACCTTTCGCCGACGCGAGACACCGTGGTACCGGTGGTGGTGCCATCCTTCGACTTGCGCTACCCGCAGGAGAGCAGCTCTTGTGGTGTAGGTCGGTACATTTGGGAAACAGGTTTGTTACAAAAGCTTCGATGTTCCTGATCCGCCAAAGCCCCAAACCTGCAGGGTTCGGCGGTTAGGCCAGCCAGGGGACGCAGGAAGTTTGTGTCGCGAAGCGCTAAAGGGGGGGGGGGGTGGGGGGGGGCCATGGGCGTGCGAAATGTTGTTTTTGATTTGCAGAATGTTGGCGGGTGGTTCTGTGGGTCCATAGAGAGGTTAGGCTTCGGGACCTACAGGGGAGCATTTTTTTGCTGTAAATTATAGCAAAAAGACGCGATTTTCAGATTCTTTGAGGTCTTGAACTTGGGGACACAAGTTGACGAGGTTTGCATCAGCTCTGCTGGTTCTTGCCGGTGATTCTTGCTGGTCCTTGCTGGTGGTGACTCAGGAATGTTGGGCTTCAGGTTAGGTGTAAGTGCGACTACACTAGGCCCATTTGAGGTCATGTCGAGTGTACGAAGGGATGATGTTGGGGTCCATTGGGGCTAGTGGCCAGGGTATGCAGTCTCTTTGCAGGTGATTCTGTTGGTCCTAGAAGGGTGTGTTTTTAGGACCCACAGGGAGTCTGCTTTGTGTGGTGTACGGGGAACATAGCACATCACGCAAGTGCTCTGACGTGTTAAATTTGGGCGGCTAGAGTTTCGCCAGGCCGGGTGTGTATGCATATTCATGCTGACTCTACTCAGGTTCTACTGAGGTCATGTTGACTCTACTGAGTTCATGTTCTGCTGAGTTCATGGTCAGGGTAAGTGGCGTGGTCTGTAGTGAGGGTCGCGTCGAAGCTATGTTGATGTCATGTTGAGCATATTGGGATCATAACCGGCCAAAGAAAAAGTATTGTTTGGCTTGTGAAGGGCTGCTACATTTCATGCTGAGGCTCAGCAAGATGCCCAGTGGGAAGGCATGCATTGATGGATACACCAATATCTCTAACTGCAGTCATTCTGAAAGGCAGAAGGCTCAAGATGCCCCAGCCGTGTCCCGAACATTGCACGGGCAAAGGTTTCTTCTCATGTCTTCGGCCGACCATTTTCAAGCGCCCCGCCTCAAGCGCTATTTCTGAGAACTTTCCAATGCAGATCCATTTTTCGTTTGCGAAGCAATCAAAAACAGTCTGCAAAAGCTGCTATTTGCAAATGTTGTGACACCAAGCCACGAAGTTGTTCGAGATCCATTCGCAGTTGGGATGGGCTACATCAGCATATACATTCACGCTACAGCTAGAATCAAAATACTGGAGTAGTTGCCGCACAGTGCTGCCTTCGACTCTCTGTTCAATGGCCTGTCCGCATTTTGACAAAGGGCTTGGGGCATGGGCAGAAATGTGTCCTGGCTAAGAGGATCTAGATGTCGAAAGCGCACTCACGCAAGTCAACGTGGCCAAAGGCCATGTGGAGGTGGCGACAGCCCAGCAGTGACTTCCAGGTATTGACTCAAAAGAGCCAAGGCCACGTTAGCCACATGCAGTTTCACAGCCTCATGGGGATCCCCTGGGCACTGGTACAGGACCCAAAAGGCCCGCGCGAGCAACCTCTGGTTGCCTTGTCTTTGTCTCTTTTTGCAAACCCCCGCGCTCTGCGCTAGGCAGCCAGATCTCAAACAGCCACTGCTGGAATAAGAATGGAAAGAGACAGAGATGAGAGACGATGGCACTTGCTGAGCTGGAGCCAAGCATGCTTAGTGGCGCTGACCAAGCGGTGCCTGAGACTCGTCGCTTGAAAGTTGAAAGGTATGCGATGGATAACGAAACAGAAAACAACGGTTGAACAACGATATCTGCAACGTGTTCATGTGATCAACATTTGTCAGCGCATATCGTGGTCACATAGTCTCAGTTAGCTATGAGGCTCCGACCATGACATCTCATTTCCCGCAAGCCTCTCAGCACTTTCATTTTGTGACCGCCACGCAAAAAGTGTCTGCTGCAAAGTGGCGCACCCTCACAGCTTCCAAGCAGTCGCCGTGGTCCAAATAAGTCGTAAAGCATGGTGCCATGGAAGTTCCCGGAGATACACTGCCTGCCATGAAAGATCTTCAGCATCAACATCTGTCAGCACTCAACAACTCAGCGAATTGTCGTCGCTTCTTGACCACAGCCAGACGGAGTTGTTCAGCCGACAGCACCTGTGGCTGCGTTCAAGGGCAGTGGCAAGCAGACTTGTGGACCTGGTGCTCGGGCCAAGTGATCGAAACTGTTGAGTCGCACTCCGGACCTATGAAGGGCCTTCAGCCTTTGATGTGCAACCAGTGTGGGCGACAGGCCGCGCAAGAACCACAATAGTGGATCTGCGCTCGCCGGGCGAGGGCGGCGTTGTCGCAGGTTTCTTTGTCAAGGAGCAGGACCCTGACCAGTGGCTGGCCGCACCAATGCCTACAGTGTGGGCGCCTTAACTGTTGCGGGGTGCGCCGACAGGCATGACAATGGATGTCTGTAGGGTTTCTACATATCCTTTCGCATTATCGGTTCAAACCGGCATGTTGCTTATAGCTCGTTGTTTCAGTGTGTGTTGAAGTTGGCTGCGCTGCTTGCTTTTAGTCCTCGTGCATTTGCTGCAGGTCTCGGGAAGTGAGCGCTGGAGCTGAAGCTATTGATCCCGAGTTTGAAAACCCGGACGGAAAGGCAGGACATTGTAACCTTGAATCTCGGATGGTTTGTTTCAATTGCTTAGAATGTTTGGTGGATGGACATTGGAGTTTACTACATTGCACAGTATTACCTTCGATGCCTGCATGCGTTTTGCAAAACTCCGCAACCCTGTACGGGCGCTGCGGCAGTACCAACTATATGCTCACCCTGGTGCTTGGGCTGGCCATGCCCAGCTTACTTGTCCATCGTGGATGCTCTAATGAAAGGTTTCCCAGCGCAGAGCGTGGGAGTTTCAGCAGAGTCTTCCTTGTGGGATTTTTTTCGCCAGACTGTGGTCAGGTCCAAGCGGTGGTGGCCTCATCACTCGAGCCCAGACTGTGTTGGAAAGCGGTGGAGGTGCTTGTGCTGGCTCCCACTACATGTTCACGGGGGCAAGCTGTTCACTCCTTATCCCATCATGGCTTGCGCTGCGAGCTCAGAAACTAAGCCCCATTGAGGAACCATTGGCGCTGGGGGCATTAGTGTTTGTCTGAGTCTGAGACACGCTGGCAGCTCGTCGTGTCCTGGTGGCCACTGTTGGTGCATTGCTGCAACCTTCTGCGCTCAAATCACTTTGGTTGCTGTGGATGAGGCTGGTGCCCTCGCCGCCGCTGAGCTGGCGACCCTGCTTTGCCATCTTGTTTCACATTTACGTTTCTCGTTTCAGAGTTCAAAAAGCTGCAGATCAACGTGTGAAGGCCCGATCCATATCCGGGACCCACATCCGATCCCATGACCCAGACCATGATCCATGCCACTCTAGAGGATATGACCGATTCCCATGATCCATACCCAGGATCAAAACGTTAGTAATGGCAAGTGTTGGAGATTTATTTGCTTTGTTCCTGAATTGTATCTTGATATTCACTTGTATTCCAATTGTGTCACATCCGGAACAAGACCCTTGATGAAAACTTCTCCTTCTACCCAGATTACCGATGTGCCAAAAGTGGTGTCCAGCATTTTTAGCAGTGGTCTGTTTGCGCGCGTCTGAGCTGAGGCAAGGTACTTCTCCTTGTGACCCATGCCAGGACACTAGTCGCAGCTCATGTGGAGCTTGGCCTGGCATGAGTGGCTCTGGGGATGACTTGCTCGCGATACCTCTTCGCGCCTCCGAGATGTGCCTGCTGCGAGCATCCGTCAGCGGGTCCGGTTCCTTCAACCGGGAGCTACCCTCCTCTCGGCTACGGCCACATGTGCCAAATCCTGAATTTGATGTACGACCATGTCCTGACACAGTTGCCCTTTGTCACTGGCAGGCAAGAGGCTGATGGATGGGTTTACAAATTGGGTTGGAACACCATGAGCATACAAAGCTGCGCGCGTGTCATAGTTTTTTGAATGGGAATGCTTCCCCTTGGAATTTGACGGTCGGGGTCACGTCAGAGAGTTCAATTGCCCAGGTTGATGTGTGTTCGCAGCCTTTCTTCCACTTCTCCAGCGCAGGGCGCGGAGATTCTCAAGACTTGTGTTTGTCCTATGCCCTTCCCAGGCCAGGAGCGCGCGCGCAGAGCGCGGGGTGGCTTAGACCGTGCGAGCTTGCGTCGCTCGGACCGTGCGACATTGTGTCGCTGAGACTGTGATTCATGGCCAGCCTCATGGCTGCGTGGAAGATGGACCTATTTTGTACAACGAAAGAATACATCATTCATATATCTATGTATACACACACACACACATATATGCAATCACTTCGACAAACAGGCCTGTTCGAGTTGACTGCTTCTAGCACCATTTGGGTCATCTCAAGCGTCATCGTGAAGACACTCGCTTGTTCACGCATTTATGATCTTAGGGTTAATCATCACCACCGCGTGTTCAGGTGGCCACCGCTTCTAAACAACGATGCGCTTGTGAAAATCACACGCAGAAGAGGCCTGTAGACTGACAGGATTTCGATCTCATTGTCTACATGGTGCTTACCACAACATACACGTAGTAGCTAGGTGCTTGTCCATGCATTTAGTTCTAACCACCCACTGCCAGCTCGCACTCGTTGCTTTTACCAGGGAAAGCGCTGATGGACGCTTCAACTGACGCCGTCCTTGCAAGAAAAAAGACGTGTCCAGTTTCGCTTTCTGTTGTTTGCCGAGCTGGTTTGCAGGGCAAGTGTTTGGCCTGCAGAAATGTCTTGAGACGCATCAGAGTGAGAGGACAGCAAATACATGCAAATACTGTATAAGAGTAAGATATGTATTAAAGCGGTCCGAGCCAGGCAAGGGAACGAACCCCTCAAAGATGCGTCTCCTCCTGAAATCCTTCCTCCCTGAATTCTTTCCTTTGTCCCTGAATTCCTTCCTTCCTCCCTGAATTCCTTCCTTCCTCCCTGA